AGATCCAACCTTTCCTAAAGACAAGCACCCTTAGATTTTAGCACAAAATGTACGTATTTCAAAATGTACAGAAAGCTTAGCTGATTATATCAGGCTCTCTGTCACGCTTACAGCAATTACTCACCACAATTACAAAAACAAGATAAAACAACTCCAATACAGTAGATTCTAAAACCAACAAATCAGATCCAGCTCACACAGTCTCTCTGCTATCATCTCAGACACTCAAAAGCGTCAGCGCGTTTTCTAAATGCTGGGCAGTGGCCAGTCTCTATAGGGAAATAGTTGTGAAGGTAGGAAGCCACAACAGAAAAGGTCCTTGGTCTCACTGCCACAGTTCATGGGCGGCATCCTATCCCTTCCTTCCACTTGCTCTTAGCTGCCCCACACCATGGAGGTGGCCCTCTATTTTGAAGCACATTCCCCTGGCACTAGGTGTGTTCTGACCATGCAAGATGAGTAGAAAGCAGCTGGACTTATGGTGGCTCCTCATGGGGTTTTCAAGGCAAGAGATGTTCAGAGGTGGTTTGCCATTGCCTGCTTCTGCATAGCCACCCTGGGCTTCCTAGGTGGTCACCCATCCAAGCACTGACCAGGGCCTACCCTGTTTAGCTTCCAAGACCAGATTAGCTAGGTTCATCCAGGTCAAGGAGAAAAGCACCTATCACCAGAGAACCACGCTCCCCAAGAGGAGCCTCTGTAACAGAGTACTGCACAAGCAAAAAGAAAGTACGGGATCCAAAGCTATAGGATTATGCCTCTATCCATGAATGGCTACTTCCTGAAGAACTGCCCATTGCTGCACTTTGCACCAAGTCCAAGTAGTGTCAGAACTTGGAAGCTAAGCAGGGGTGGCTGTGGTTAATACTTGGATGGGAGACCACCAAGAAAGAAGGAAGACCTCCTTTGCATAGCAACCCACCTCTGCTCCTCTCTTGCTTTGCAAAACCCATGATGGGGTTGTCATAAGTCAGTTGTGACCTGCCAACACACCCACCCATCGACCCCCAGTTTCTGAATAGGATTCAGAATTGAAAGGTAACCATGCTGATAATCCCATTCTCCATTTTGTGTCTAGACCCACTGAAAGGGTCTAAGCATGTATAGCATACTGGGCAACGAGGTTGTTGCCTGTATCTAACAGCTATTCTGGCTTTCATGGAAGAACAACAGATTATGATTAACAGAAATTGCCCAACTGACCTCATTATTCACATATCAGACCTTTTAAGTCACACTGACACACAAATAGGCTGTATCTTGAACACAAAGAATTATGAAAGTGCTGGGATGGTACAAAGACACGAAAGTCCAACACACATGTGCAATCGTAAGAACTCTTTCCTAGAAGTAACCCCCACTGAAAATATCTGAGTAGGGTTCTTAGTAGACCTGTTTAGAATTGCTCTCTAAGGGTGATTCTGCACTAGACCTTAAATCCTGATTCAGCCCTGTCCCCGAACTCACATTCTACACTACACTCGAGTTCATCCCTGTAATTATCTCAGGGTGAGGTCCAACACACATTAACAGTGCAATCGTAAGAACTCTTTCCTGGAAGTAACCCCCACTGAAAATATCTGAGTAGGGTTCTTAGTAGACCTGTTTAGAATTGCTCTCTAAGGGTGATTCTGCACTAGACCTTAAATCCTGATTCAGCCCTGTCCCCGAACTCACATTCTACACTACACTCGAGTTCATCCCTGTAATTATCTCAGGGTATTTTTTGTTTCCACATTACACTGAGGTCATCCCGGTTTCACTCCACACTTGTCCCGGGATAAACGGATCCTGTTACAACCAGGGATGAGATCCAAGTGCAGAAAGGACCTAAGTGTTTTAGTTGGTCAAAATTAGCCTCTCAAATTCTGCCCAGAATCCAGTAATTGTAGATGTTGGAGCACTGTTGTAGAATTGGCTCACGGGAGCCCCTTCAAATAAAGTTATGGCCACGTTTAACTGCCTTCACGTTTCCATCTTGGCCCCAGAGGCAAGAACATTTATTGCCAGCACTGCCGGAGAAAATACTGGGCTGTATCTGCACAGCTGAGAATGGAGGTCTTCCTCTGGTGGAAGGAAGGAGCCTTGATACAGCAGAAGAGGCTCTTCCGCTGGCGTAAAGCTCCCTCCATCAGAGGCAGGCGCAGACTGGCTTCTTGACTTGCCAAGAAAGCACCCAATGGCTGCAGCCTTAGAGGGCCATTACTGGCTAGGAGCAAACTTACCCAACGGGCCCTGTAGACACCACTTGACTCAGTTTGTTAGAGGGTTTTCTTAATGTCAGTCCTCTCCTGGATAGGAGACAGCTCCAGGCTTAAGGGAGTGGGGTGGCAGGGCCAAGGAGAAGGCCTTAGATTGCAGCCGTCTTTTCTAAAGGGAAGCAGCTGAGCAAATGCCATTCCAGCCCCATTTCTTCTCTGCTTCCCCATATATAACGGTATCTGACTACCAGGTCTGTCCTGATCTGCAATGACTCGAACCAACAGCACCACCAACATTGTTTTTTAATTCTATTTAGGTTTAATTTTTAGAACTGCCCCCCCCCATTTAAAAATCAGCCATTCCTCTAAAAGCATGATCTGGCCATAGCGATCTGTGCTCACATCTAGGTTAGATTACTGTAATACATTTTATACCAATCCCTTTAAATGCCTTCGGAGTGAACTCTCAGTCTCAGCTTGGAGAAGGCATTTAAAGGGATTTAAAGATTTAAAGCCTTTTAAATGCCTTTGGAGTTTGTTCACCATGGAGCAGCATGGCTTGGAGAAGGCATTTAAAGGGACTGCAATCCCTTTAAATGTCTTTTTTTCCCTTCACTGGAAACAATGGAGGGTGGGGGCACCTTCTTTGGGGGCCCACAGAGTTGGACCCCCTGGTCCAAACTTTTTGAAACTTGGAGGAGTTGAGGAGAGGCACCAGCAGCTATGCTGCAAATATGGTGCCTCTACCTCAAAAACATGCCCCCCCCAGAGCCCCAGATACCCCCAGAACGATTCTCCATTATTGCGTATGGGGACCATTGACTATAATGGAGCTGAAAAAAATTGGCTATCCTGAATATTTACCGAATCCAAATACCATACTGGTATTGGGATTCAGGAATATCGGGAAATACTGATATTTTTCAGGTTCAATATACCTGAACTCAAAAAACACCATTTTGTTTTGCACACCCCTACTGGGGCTGGCACATTTTAGCTTAATAATTAACTTAGCAGTATGTTTTTCACCTTATAATTCGTCACCCTTATACAGGCACGATATAGCTATCTCAAAGTGATATTAGAAAAAATGCTATGAAAACATGAAGCACACACGTTATGGTTTACAGCACCTCTAAAAAGGAAGGCTGGGTTTTATCTGACGGAAAGATCAGAGGGCAAATCAAATTTCCCGACAGGCTGCCATCCCCACCATTCTCATTCCTGCCGCTGACACCAGTTCAAGATGCACAAAGGGAACAGTATTGTAGATGTGTCTGCAGGAAAATGCCTCTTTGTGGGTGATGCTCTCACAAAATGACTCGAGGTTAAAAATCCTATCAACAACTTGCAAATTCATATTTAGAGCTCTTACTCCCTTTTTTCATTGACCACTGGCTGCAAAAGCCCTATGCTTTAGGTTCCACCAATGGCTAGTAGCCAGGGTGATGGAAGGAAGCCTCCTTATACAGAGGGAGCAAAGCTCTGAATCCTAGTGCCAGGAGACAACATCAGGGAAAGGCCTTGGCCTTCACACTCTGTTTGTTTGGCCTTCTAGGGCAACTGGTGGGCCACTGTATAAAAAGGGATGCTAGACTAAAGGGACCCCTGTTCTGATCCAGGTGTTCTTACATTCTTGTGTTCAAGCATGCTGTTCCAAGAGCAGGATCATTTTGCAGTCATCACAGAATCATGATTGGCTTAGATCGGACATCATGTTCCCAGTCTCCAAACCACAGATCCCAAATATGTGTATGCTCACACAGGCCTTCCTACTGAGATGGCATTTACAGCGCAAATCTCCCCAGAATTATACCCTTCTAAATCCATTGAAGTCAGTGAAGGGTGTAATTCTGTTTAAGTCTTCAGATACAAGGAATAGCTGAATGGCTTGGGAAGGGGAACGACACCTTCTGAAGGTTGATCTACTCCCAAGATAGGTTTGCTAACCTCTAGGTGGTGCCTGGAGACCTCTCAGAATTACAACCGATCTCCAAACAACAGAAATGAGTTCCCCTGGAGAAAATGGCAGCTTTGGATGGTGGGGTTTACGTGACCCCCTTCAAGCTCCCACGGTCTAGCTACCCTATCGCCTCTAGAACTAGTTGTGGATCAGGGTTCTGTGCTGTACCCCCCCTCTGACACTGCAGTAAACATCGAATCAGAAAGCGCACATACCAGGCAATCCCATTATAGCAAAGCCAGGTCTCCTCCACTCATTGTATTGTGACAGAATATTGTGCTACCAGTATTGGATCTGGGCTATGATGGGTTTAACACTAAAAACACATTTTGGGGGGGGGGGGTTCCATATCAATTGCATGCCACTTAGTATTCAGTTAAAATCTTTTTTCCTTGAAAAAGCCTGTTACAATCCCCAAGCATTACTGCAACACTCATAGGAGGTCCCCTGGGAAATTATCTTTTCACAGTATTCTAACCTTTTAAAATATTGTATTTCACAACAGCTTACACTGTTCAATATGTTTAGTGCTAACCACGACCGCCTCCAAAACATTGGTTTGCAAAATTCTTTCAAACCATGGTTTGGTGGCAGTTCCTGGTAAGTGCTAACCGTGGTTTCCCTGATGCAGGTATAGTATGATTAGACAACCTGGAATGGAGGAAATAATAGTTGTGCAAGTGGAGGGAGGGTCTCTGTGAGCATACACATATTCGGGAACTGTGGTCTGGAGACTGGGAACATGATGTCTGATCTAAGCCAATCATGGTGACTGGGATCATTTGTAAGTGGAGAACAACTACTGAAGACAGAGAGATTCAGTGTAATGGTTTTACCTTTCAGCTATGGAACGCCTCGGTGAATAGAAATCCGTCCCAGCAAGGTAGGCTGCCGCAGTCCCTCCTCCAAAATAGGTTTTCCTCAGGTGAGAAGCGATTTCATTCTTCACCAGCAGAGCCCCCAAGCCCGTGGGGAATCCAAACATCTTGTAGAATGACACAGGCACAAAGTCCGCTGGGTGAGTGCTTAAGTCTAACGGAGAAGTGCCGACGAAAGATGCCGCATCCAACAGCACAAACCATTTCCCTGGGACATCGATGGGGCGGAGCTTTCCCGATTTTATCTCTTCAATCCACGCAAGGGGATATTTTGTCCCTGAAAAATTGCTCTGGGCGGGATAACAAAAGAGGAGAGGGGTCTGGCAGTTCCGCTCTTCAGCCCCTGCCTCCCTTGTCCGTGGCACCATCTCCGCAGGCTTCACAGGGACAGACAAGACATTCATTGCAGCAGTGATCCCCCTCATGCCCACCACAGACGTGTGGCTGTCAGTGAGGTAGCAAAACCGGCTGCCGGGCTCCTCTGGGGATTCGGGGACCCAAGGGAAGGCCTCCGCTACAAGCCTGAGCGCGGATGTACATCCAGAAGTGAAAATGGCCGTGTAGTCTTCAACGGTGGTATTGAAGTGCTGCAATAGTCTGGAAGGAGAAGAAAAACATGGCAATCTTGAATGGGCTGTGGGATTTAAATCCTAATTTTATATCACTGGAATCTGTTTCTTGGCAATTACTTCCGGTATCCATCTAAGTTCAGATCTAAACCCACAAAATCATTTTCTGCTTTCCATGGCTAGAGCAGAATGGCACGTTACCAAATTCTTACTGCTCAGTTTACTAAATTAGGGGCAAACTATTTATTATTTATCTACTTAAAATGTTTATTGGCTGCCTTTCTGCCTTGTGGAACTCAAAAATAAATTTTTAAAAATTATTATCTATATACTAATAGCGAAGTCACCCCCATGTGTGCGGATACCTAAATCCCCGCATCAGGGGCACCTGGGGGGGAGGGAGATTTTTGTGCACACTTGGGGCAGTCCCCAGGTGTGCACAAAAATCTTGTAAAAACCTCCTGCTTCCTCCTCTGCCTCATGTGGAGGTCCCCCCCAAACGAGTATCGCGGGTCCTAAATCTTGTAAAAACATCTAAAGGCCATAATTTAAAATCTCCATTCAGGACTACCAGTAAATAAAAACTAAATCAGTCCAATGCAGTCCTAGATAAAATTGTCATTTAATTACCTCCATACTTCTTTGGGGAGGTTGTTCCATATTTGGGGGGCTGCCACCGAAAAGGCCATCCCTTGTGTGCCCATGAGACAATTAAACTAGATAGTAAGTTATATTATGTGGTTATATACGCTGATGCAATTTTTTATGATAAATTGTATAAATATGGAGATACTGGAGGTGATGTGACTTTTCTGTGTTTCTGCATTCTTCATTACAACCTCGTATTTCCTGTGGGTGTCAGTTGGACTGATTATTTTCCCCACTTTCACTTTTTCTCCCTTCATACCTGGCTTCTCCCTTTGTTGGCAAACTAGAAAACAGACAGAGTTGACCTCCTCCGCCCACTTTTCAGGAGAAGTGAAAAGTGACCTTTAATATTTCTGTCCACAGATCAGAAATTAACTCTGGGGGGTATGATTCTGAACAGGAAACATTTGGAGAGGAAGAGGTGAAAGACCCCCCTGTGCCCTGCCCCTTCTCTGCTCAGAATGACAGCCTCCCAACACGGCTTCAGATTAACAACAAAACACTGAAAATTGGTGACACCAATTCATATGAAACAGGCTGTCATGGGTCCGGGTCTGGCTGAGGCTGACCCCTCCTCAGAGGAGGAAGAGGCAGGGAACAACTCAGCCTCCTCTAGAGACAGCCCAGAGGAAGAACCCTCAGCAGTAACCGGAGGAAGAGTCCCCGGCAGCTGCACAAGAGATGCAGCCAGAAGGAGAGACCATTCCTGAGCCGGGGCCAGCGACCCCAGCTGCAGACACCCCGAGGCCAGACTCCCCAAGGCCTAGTTCCCCTGAGTGCCCCGGACGTAAGGCCCGGCAGAGGCTGACTTTGCAGGAACGGAGAAGAAGTGTCAGGCTGCGGCTCCAGCAACATCAGCGAGAGGAGTTGTAAGCCTCTGCAGACTCAACTCCAAAGGGAGGGAGGATCTGTTTAAAAAACCCTGGTGCACCTGCTCCAGCGCAGCAACAACTCTGCAAAATCAGACCTGCTTCTGAGTGTGTAGCAGTCGCTCCTTGCCTTTGCAAACCTGCATTCTTCAAACGACTCCACGGCTATCAGACCTTTGGTTTTTTCACTGAACTCGATTCCAGCTCATGTCTTCAGCTTCTAGCTTATCGCCTCGGTGGCTACCAGCCAAGTCAGCACACATGCATTTTGCCCCTAACTAAACACATTTGTCTAGCAAGAGTCTTATTAACCTCTTGCTACAAAAAGAGCGGCGTCCTGAAGGACCTTATAAAATATAGAGTGACACAAACCTCCAAGGGCCAGATTCCAGTTTATATGGTGGGGGTCTCCGACTTTTTTGAGCCTGGGGGCACTTCTGGAATTCTGACACAGGGTGGTGGGCACAGCCACAAAACGGCTGCCGCATGAGGTACAGCCAGCTACAAAGTCGCTACCATGGTTTACCTTTACTGAAGATCCTTGTGCTGTGGTGGCAGCTGCTGACAAAGCAACTTTTTAAAAATCTGCACAGCTAGGTGGCCATTCAGACCCTTAGGGTTACCAAGTCCCGCCTGGCAACTGGCAGGGCACTGGGGGGGAAGTTACCAGGAACAGCAGGGAGGCCCAGATTACGTCACCAGCGACATGACAGAGTCACTTCCAGCACGCTGCGCCATTGTTGTGATGCTCTGGTATTTGGGCAAAAACTCTGTGGTAAAAATGGCTTCTACCATAGAGGCTTTGCCCAAATACAGAGTGTTGCTGCGATGTTGCCAATGTGATGATGTCATTCCTGATGCACGCTGGAAGTGACATCGCTACGTCACCAGCAGCACAGCCTGGGCCTCCCACCTTCTCAAGTCCCTCTGCTGGCCAGCTGATCAGGGCCGGGGGTCAGGCCTGGCAGTGGAGGGGGGTCCCCTGCCTTCACGGAGGGGTGGGGGCTGGCGATCCTAGAGGCCGACTGGGCAAAAGCCCCTCCCACGGCAGTGATAGTCACAGCTGATTTATGGGGAGCCCGTAGGGTTTTTAAGGCAAGAGCAATTCCGAGGTGGTTCGCCATTACCTGCCTCTGTGTAGCAACTCTGGGACTTCCTCGGTGGTCTCCCATCCAAGTGCTGACCAGGGCTGACCCTGCTTAGCTTCCAAGATCTGATGAGATTGGGCCGGCCTGGGCCATCCAGGTCAGGGCAAAAATATCTTAGCCAGTCAGAAAAGCAGCCCATGCACGTGGAAGGAAATTATTTTGTTTTGAAAACACCTCAGTTTTTCCAGCATCAGCCTTAATTTAATTCTGACTTGGTTGCTAAAGTTAATAGTAAGGGGCTAGCCTCTTCTGTGGATGGTGAAAGTCACAAAACTGGGCTACACTGAGACAAGGAAGGATTCTCAATCTGGTCAGGAAACTTCTTAAGTAAGTAGGAAAAATTGTAATTTCATTTATTTGGTTCATTTTTATCACATCCTTTGCCCAATGAGCTCAGGATTGTTCTTAACTCCTCCAGTTTATCTTCACCACCGCCCTGCAAGGTAGGTTAGGCTTAGATAGAAAGACTGGCCCAGGGTCACCCAATGAGTTTTATGGTGTGTGGGACTTGAACTCAAGTCTTCCAGACTTCATCCAAGAATCAAATGGCTACCATCAAAACTAGGGTTACTAAGTGTCTTCTTTCTAGAGGGCATGTCCTCTTTTGGGGGTCTCTTTTTAAAGAAAAAATGAAAATGTCCCCTTTTTGGATTGGAAGGTTAGGAATATTCCTAGTTAGTAGCAATTATCACAGCTTAAATAGTGGGGGTCTTTAAAATGAGATTTGTCATTGCGATCACTTGTTTGAAGTCGTCAGTTGGGAAATTTTGCTTTTCAAAATATGGTAGCCCTAGTCAAAACCCAACCTGATGGGGCCTAAATAAGCTCCAGAAGGAAAGAAATGTTAATTAATTAATTATCATATAGCGTTATGTGTAGAATAGCCAAGAGATTCTAAGATTGTCTGGCAGACTGAAGTTCTAGCTCTTTACCATTATGCACCACTAGGTGGCGAGCTAGACTTGTTTTTAAGGCAATAGATCATTCAGAGGAAGTTTGCCATTCCTGCCTTTGCATCATGCCCTGGTATTCCTTGGAGGTCACCCTTCCAAATCCTAGCCAAGGCCGACCCTGCTTAGCTTCTGATATCTGACGGGATCAGGCTAGCCTGGGCTATCGGGGGGGGGGGGCATTCACCAGTAAGCTAATGAGAGGCTACAGAACCCTCCAAAGGGAGATACTGGGGGAGGTGGGGTTTCTAAACTGTCCCCCCCCCCACTATTCTTTGGTGGGTGTCACCTTGTGTTCTGTACTGATAGAATGCAATACCAAGCACATGTACAAAGAATAAAGTGCACAACAACTAGGGAAGCTACCTTGATGTACTGCCTCCTTCACAGATCTTTTTCTTTAAAAAATCAAGCAGTCTCGTTTTATAACAGCTATACGAGATGCTCCAAGATGTTTCTGAAATAGTAAGGTTGATTTTCTCACCAAGAGCAAAGAGTCTCTCTCTCTCTCTCTCTGCACTGCAGTGTCTTAATAATATATCACCTCTGTGCTCAAAATAGTAAGACAGTGTGATGATGATGAGGAAGTGCTGCACATCAAAGTACTGGGCAGCAAACGTTCAATGTTAAGTGCCCGAGTGCCATCTTAAGATCCAGGGCAAAGAAGCACACCCCCAAAATAGCTGTACATGCGGATCTGTTGAGGCACACAGAAGGCCTAAGGACCCAGAGCTCTTGTGGCCACAAATGGTGGTTCTAAATGTTCATAAAACAAAAGCAGCTTAAAACCAGAATCACACTTAAAGTATTTGTTTTACTGCTCACCAGGGCTCTAGTCGGGGGGGAGCTCTCAGGTACGGAGCTCCGGAAGAGAACCTCTAGGGGGCGGGGCGGTCACGTGGTGAAGCCCCGCCCCCTTCTTTACCCCGCCCTCTGCTTCGATCCTCATTCCGTTTGGGAATGAGGATGAAGCAGGAGGGTAAGTAGCCGGGCCTTCTGACACACTTCCGGTGATGTCAGGGGGTGTGGCCTTCTGTCACTTCCGGTGATGTCAGGGGGCGTGGCATATGCAAATAAGTTATGCTAATGAGTTATGCTAATGAGCTCCGGCAGCTCTTTTTCTACAACAAGACCCCTGCTGCTCACTATTGTTTTGTCTGTATTAAATGGTTTATTGAAGCTCTAAAGGCACACTCGATGTGCTTACAGCTATGCCTATTAAACTGGACTTCATTTTATGTATCTTTACAGCTGTGCTTTATATGCTGACAACCAGTATTCCCTCTAAGCTGAGTTAGTGTGAGCTAGCTCACAGTTCTTTAGCCTCCGGCTCACACATTTCTGTCTTCGCTCAGGAAGGATGGCTCCAGAGCAAACTAATTGATGCAGCAGCCAAATCGCTCGCTCACCACT